CACGATCACCTGCATAATCTGAGTCAACATATCCTCTGACAATAAAGTCTGATCCTCCWGAACACAATGCAACATCAGTAGATCGTTTGATGTATCTAAGGATCCTTTTAATAGCATTCCAATGCTCTCGACCTTAATTCGCCATACACTGACTAACTACTCCCACTGCATGTGCAATGTCTGGTCTGGTACGGATCATGGCGAACATTAGGCTTCCCACTGCTGATGCATATAGTACTCGAGACATCTCCATCCTCTCTGCTTCACTGTTAGGGCTCATACCAGAGGATAACTTGAAATTAACAGGAAGAGGGGTAGAGATTGGCTTACAGTTTTGCATGTTGAACCGTCACAAGACTTTCTTCAAATAATTTTTCTATGATAGCCAGATCTTCATGTTATTTCTGTCTCGGTGAATTTGCATCCCCAGAATCTTGTTTGCTGGTCYTATGTCCTTCATTTCAAACTCCCTAGCCAACTAAATCTTCAATTCTTCGATACGATCTTTGTTGGGGCTTGCAACCAACATGTCGTCAACATACAATAACAAGACAATAAAGGCTGTTTCACCAAACCTCTTGAAATATGCACAAGGGTCTGCATTAAGTCTGTTGTATCCAAGGCTCACGATGGAGGCATCAAATCTCTTGTACCAACCCCTTGGTGCCTGTTTGAGACCGTATAGAGATTTGTTCAACCTACAAACCAAGTTCTCTTTTCCTTTTACTTCAAAGCCTTCTGGTTGGAGCATATAAATTTCTTCTTTGAGATCTCCATGGAGAAAGGTAGTTTTAACATCTAACTGCTCCAACTGTAGATCAAATGTAGCATACATTTCCAGGACTATTCTAACCGTAGCCAGTCAAACTAACGGAGAAAATATTTCATTGAAGTCAATACCTTCTTTCTGAGCATATCCCTTCACCACCAATCTTGCACGATACCGCTCCACTTGGTCATCATTGTTGCGCTTGATCTTGTACACCCACTTGTTGCCAATGAGCTTTCTCTYTCGTGGTAGCGTTACAAGTTCCCAGGTCTTGTTCTTATGGAGAGCTTCTATTTCTTCCTGCATTGCTGTCATCCACTGAGCAGCATCTAAACTAGTCATTGCCTCTTGGAGAGTTAATGRCTCTCCATCCTCAGTTAGAAGACAATATGCAACATTACTCTCCATAATGTAGTCAGATTGCCAACTGGGTGGTTTTGTCGGCCTACCTGATCGACGAGTCCCTGGTACTTGTGATCCATCTTGTTCCTGGATCTCGTGCACTAGTTCAGCTTTAGAAGAGTCCTGTTCAGATTCTTTCTCCAAGTGTACTGTTGTAGTCTCTGAACTTTTATTTATAGTGCTATCATCCTCTACAACTTGTCTCTTGTTCTCCATAAAGACCACATCCCTGCTGATGATAATCTTGTGGTCAGTGGGATCCCACATGCTATACCCCTTCACACGATCAGCATACCCCAAGAATAAACATTTCCAGGATTTTAGATCCAGCTTTGTAGTTTTTTAGGCATTGTACATCACGTACACCGAACTTTCGAATGTATGGAGGTTTGAATAATCACCTGGCTTGCCCGTCCACATCTACATCGATGTCTTCAACTCAATTGAAGTTGATGGAGCATGATTCACTACATAACAGGCGGTATTGACKGCTTCTGCCCAAAAAGCTTTGTCTAAGCCTGCAGTTGCTAACATTGCTTTTGTCCTCTCCAACAATGTTCTGTTCATCCGCTCTGCTACTCCATTTTGCTGAGGAGTGTAAGCCATAGTGAATTGCCTCTTGATGCCTTCCTGGTTGCAGAAATCCGCAAACTCATTGCTCGTATATTCCCCTCCATTATCTGTCCGCAAACACTTTAACTTCTTGCTAGATTGAAGTTTTACCTGCGCTTTGAACACTTTGAAGACCGAACACACATCTGCCTTCCTCTTGATAGGATACACCCAACATCTTCTGGAGTAGTCATCTATAAAGAACATGAAGTACCCTGCTCCTCCTAGAGATGTAACCGGTGCTTGCCATACATCAGAGTGAACCAATTCTAGAATCTCTTTACTTCTAGAATTTGATGTGTTGAACTTTAACCTGTGCTGCTTACTTGTAACACAATGCTCACAAAAGGGGAGAGATACCTTAGTGAGCCCTGGGAGTAGATTCTGCTCTACAAGAACCTTCATTCCTTGTTCGGACATGTGTCCAAGTTTCTGGTGCCCGATCATTGAGAGCTTGGACTTCTTGAGGCAACTGATGCTTCTCCATCTTACAAAATCTCTCCCTCCAATATGTACAAGTTTGTAGCCACCATTTTTCCCTTCATAAGTGTAAGTGCACCTCGAATGACCTTCATGATTCCCTTTTCCACGATCACCTTGCAATSAAGGTCATCTAATTGACCTACCGAGAGCAAGTTCTTTGTCAGGCCTTCTACATGTCGCACTTGTTGATTTGTGCGAACTATATTGTCATGGAACTTCAACTTGATAGGTCCAATACCGACAATCTTCAGGGCATGTTCGTCACAGYTAAACACAGATCCTCTAGAGACAGGTTCATAATGATGGAACCATTCTCGTCGAGAGGTCATGTGATAAGTGGCTCTTGAGTCGATGACCACACGTCAGCTAAACTATTTCTGCCTTCAACAGTTGTCGTTGCTTCACAACACAAGATATCAACTTAATTCRAAGTTTTTGCTACATTTCCTTGAAGATTGGAATATTTCTTATTTAGACTCCAACAATCCTTCTTCATATGACCCTTCTTGCCATAGTGGTAGCACTTCATGTTCTTCTTACTTCTTGATTTTGCCCTTCCTTGATTTTGGCTCCCACTTAAACCACGTTTCGTTGATCTACCTCTTTTCACCGCCAGAGCCTCTGCTTGTCACGAACTTGCCAATTTATCTACTTTGTTCTTGCGTCAATTTTCCTCTTCCAGGACAGCAGCTCCAATATCTTCAAAGTTTAGAAAGTCGGTGAGAACATTATTTGTCAGGTTGATGACAAGTTGATCATACGAATCAGGAAGACTTTGAAGTAGAAGTTCAGCACGTTCATTTGGCTCTATTTTACAACCCAATGATGTGAGTTGAGAAAATAAAGTATTCAACGTGTTGATGTGCTCTGTGCTCTGTCGTTGGAGTAGATTCTGACATCCGAAGAGTATACAATCTCCTCTTAAGGAAAATCTTGTTGTGAAGTGACCTGGCCTCGTACAACTTTTCGGGATAGATCCCAAATCTCCTTTGCAGTTTTCTTCTCTTTTATGCTCGACAACACTTTATCTACTAGAGCCAGATGAAGATTTGCAACAACATTCCTGTCCATCTCGTTCTACTTATCATCTGTGACATCCGCCAGCCTCGCACTGATGGCTGCAAGACAATTATCTTTTCTCAAGATAGCCTTCATCTTCATCTTCCACAACGAGAAATTAGTCCCGTTGAATTTCTTAATCTCGTAATTTGCCGCCATTACTTCTATCATGAACTGTATGCAATCCTTCACGACTTTCAATTAAGGTGAAAGATATCTAACTTATTTTTTGACTTGGAGGATCCACTATTAGTGGCAACCACAGAGCATACGATAAGTAGATATTAACACGCAAAACCAGACTCTGATACCATTTGTTGTAAAAAAGCACTGGAATCGAATAGAGTAAGAAGCAACTAAAAAGGATTTGAGAAGAAGTAGAGAGGAAAGAAGAAAAAAATGACACAGTGATTTTACGTGGAAAACCTCTAAACGAATTAGAGTAAAAACCATAGGTAAGGAAGAAGAAATYCACTCAATAAAGTAGGAGTTACAACATTTCTTTCTTTAAGAGAACAAAATCTTTCATAAGAAGAAACTCTCTCTATTTTATCTCACCAAGCTTCACACTCATCTTAGCTCACTTGGAATTGGGAATTTTTTTTGGATGGGTTGTCAAAGTATGGRTGGGTCAATAAATCTAGATGGAAATTTATTTTTAAAAATAAATATGGAAACAAGAAATCAAAACTGAATCTGAAATCTGAAGGGAAAATCTCAAATCAAATCAAATCAAAATTGAGGGCAATAGTATATGTCGATGAAATTTGATTATATGATAAATATTTTACGAAATTTTTCTCCACAATATATTTTTGTTTATTTTTCTAATTGAATGAAAGTAAACCCAGGGGACCAATTTCTGTAGCTGATAAATATTTTCTAATTTGATTACGATAAATATATTGTAAATATTTTCTCTCCAAAAAATATATATTATTATTATTATTATATTATTATTATTATTATTATTATTATTATTATTAAAAAATTGATAAGTCATTATTGGATTCTTTTCACTACATTCTTGAAGCTCGAGGATTCCCAGATTACTGTTGCTTTTTCTTGCTTTTTTTTCATTTATAGTTAGTTAAAAAATATATTTGATCCCTGTACTTTCACTTTTAGTCTCTATCGTAAAAAATTTTATTAAAACTAAGCGTCTAATTTATTATATAACAATTTAATATTTCTAATTATAGTTTATCTATCTATATATATAAGAAACTTAAAAAAAAAAATTCACCATAAAGACTAAATCATTACAACTTTAAATTACATAAACTATATTGTTACCTATTAAAGTTCAAGAACTAAATTGATGCCAATCTGAAAGTACATGAATTAAATCGTTATAAACTAAAGTTAAGAGACTAAATGGTTACTTTAGTCAAATTATAGAGATCAGAAGTGTGTTTTRAACTTTATAGTTACTATGGGGATAGGAAGATTATGTCCCATTGTTATTTTCTTATTTATTGTTATTAGATAGGGAAGCTGATGGAATATTATGTTGGATTTTGTTCTCTTTTTTTTTTTTATTTATAGTTACCATTGGAATGAAGGGTTTTCATTGTTGGATTTTCTTTATTTCTTTGGACCTTTTTTTTATTTTGACTAGCAAACAGTAATTACAACAGAAAAGGAAAATAGGGACTAAATGCATATTCAGAATTCTCCATAAACATTTCAAGATTATTCTTGGACAAAATTATATATTTGGTCTGGTAAGGAAATTATTTGTTTACCTTCTTTGGAAGTTTAWTTTTCCTACACAAAATGCAAAAAGAAAAGACAATACAATAGGGAAGAGGATGAGAATGAGTGCCACVAGGGGAAGTTGATTGTGGTGAAACCCAAAGTAATCTCTCAAGAAACCTGAAACTGTTGTYTTTTCTTCAAACACATTCAAAGTGTTGTCTATATCTCCATATTGTGAAGTTAGCAAACAATTCAAAGTCCATGATGTTGGGGACATATAATACAACCACATCCACCACCTTGGGATTTGCTGCATAAAAAAGGCACAAATTTTGATTTCTTTCTCATTACTATAAAGTAAGAAAAGARCCTTGTTTTAGTCAGATATGGCTTACCGGTTTCGGGACGAGAAAGCCAGAAAAGAGATTGAAGATGGTGTAGAAGGCAGAGGACAAAATGTTAGCAATGTAAAAGTTTGGTGTGATGGAGACAAGCAGCAACCCAAGATAATTGAAGTAGAGAAGTGCACAAAAAATTGAGTAGAAACACCAAAATACTTTGGATGCTGATCCGTAGTATCCGATCATTGGGTAACTGATAATTACATAGGCAGCTACTTGTACAAACAGGTACGGAACCTCAACAATCACCTGCAAAGTTATACAAAGTTTTGAAGTYAGAGGACTTCACAATATAGAGCTTCAAAGTCTCATAAAATTGGCTTATGTGTTGACATATCAATCGTAAACATAGACAAGACATTAAGAAAAACAAAACATTTAGTGGCTTTGAGCTCTGTGTCAAGCCGCTTTCTTTGCTACCTTGTGGTATATTTGGTTAGAAAGAAATATAAGACTTACTCTACTCTATATTTCGCAATAATATGATATATTGTCCATTCAGGGTCTTAAGCTTGTATGCCTTTAAATCAAAAAAGTCTAGTACTAATAGAAATGTCGTCCTTGAATCCGTGAATTTTTCTAATTTCAATTGGAAGTGGGAGCTATGTTTGCATCTCCAACAGAATAAAAGGTCTCTTTCCAGGGTATTTGAGGAATGAGGATTATTCAGACTAAAATTTGACCTATTTTGATGCCTCTCTTGGTGTCTACGACAAATGTTTTACATAATTATTTGTTGGTGTTATATTGGCTCCATAATGAGTTTCTCTGGTTTCTTCATATCTTTATACTTTGTCATTTTGAATTTTTATTTGTCTCAATGCAAGCCGGTCTTATAAAAATAAAAGCTTGAACGATAATTATCGAAAAGATTGAACTGGTTAAGATGAGAATGTACCTGTGCAAGTGAATAAGCCCATGAAGAATACATCCCAGCAAACCTTTCTCTGTACATCACAGTTCTCTCCATTGATACATAAGGAAGGACTGATGAGCAGTTGTCGATGCCAAGGAAGATTACAGTAGTGTACATTGAACCGAAGATATTGAATACATTCTGCTGGTTTTCTCTTCAAACACCAAAACAAAAAGAAAACAAAAGGTTGCACATGCTTGTCAGTCTCATAATACTTTGAAAACTGAAATAGAAGGGCACCAAAAGAGGAAAAGTGGAMATTGTATATATGCATAAAATACTCACAGCTGMTTTCCCTGGTTCCAGAATACTATCCCAAAAATCAAAGACGATACAACTGTATGTATGAAACGCATCAAGTTATAAGAAGGACTCCGCCAATAAGACAAGTTTTGTTTCCAAAGGCAAGCCTTGAACTGTCCCATGAAACTTTGGGAAAAGACGTTTGAGAAATGCAAATCGCTCGAACCAGGAAGTGGAATACTCAACTGCTCCACAAGTTCTTTGTTATTCCTGCAAAACAGGATTTGTCAAGAAGCATGTTTGTTTTATGTCTTTGTTTCTAACACTCATAGATCAATTTGAAAAAATTCTCTATCTTATTTTCATTGCATGATAAAATAGCTTCATATCTGAAGAAGAAAATTAGAAGAAAACAAAAATTGAGATCATAACTTGTGTACTTGGGTGAGATAAAAGATTCTAGAGTTTAACTCACTCATATAGAGCAGAATTCCTATATACTTGAGCAAAATCTATGCCAAGTTCAGCTTCTGATGATGGAGAGGTAACCTCTAACATCCATGTTGCAGGATTGTAGTTCTCTCTGATCTTTGAAACCCCAGAAATATGCTGTGTGTAATAGAAAATGAAATGCTCAAAAACAATGAAAATGGAATATATTGTCACAACAGAATTGCTAGTCTCAGAGCAAACTGACCTCAAAATATTCGATAACCTTACTTGATTGATGTCCAAGTGGCCCGCAGTAGATCATACAACCGCCAGTTTTAAGAAGAATCAACTACACAAAAAGTGAAAACAGTATAAAAATCATGGACTTGTGATTGTAGCCATCCCGCACTCTCAAGTTCTACTAGTTAAGATTGCTGAATGAAATTCAAATGACATGGATTTTCAACAGATCGGCAAGAAATGTTTTCAACAATTGTGATGTGGGCAAATGTTTGAARGGAAGACAAAAAGTTCAATGTACAAATGCAATTACAGCTCTAATTTGAAAATTTACCTCATCAAATGATTCAAAGATGTCGATACTCGGTTGGTGGATCGTACAAACTATTGTTCTACCAGTATCTGCTACATTCTTGACCGCACGCATGACAATAGCGGCTGCTCTGGCATCCAAACCAGTGGTAGGCTCATCCATGAAGATGATAGAGGGGTTGGAAACAAGCTCCACAGCTATGGTTAATCGTTTACGCTGCTCGGTTGATAGACCGCTGACACCAGGTACACCAACTAAGGAATCCTTTATGCTATCAAGTTCAATGATTTCAAGGACTTCATTCACAAATTGCTACAAAATAAGGAACTAATGTCAATTTCACGAACAAATTATCCTCAGTGAAAAATAACTATAACCATTTAAGTTTCAGCTTGAGAGGGCATGAGAACAGCATACTGCTTTTGTTTTTGAATCAATGTCGGATGCCAAACGAAGCCAAGCAGAGAAAATTAGAGATTCTTCCACTGTGATTTGTGGAGAATGTATATCAGTTTGTTCA